TTCTCCTGTATGTCATCCATCCGCCATGTTCTCCTGTATGTCATCCATCCGCCATGTTCTCCTGTTTGTCACCCATCAGCCATGTTCTCCTGTATGTCATCCATCCACAAAGTTCTCCTTTATGTTATCCATCCACCATGTTCTCCTTTATGTCATCCATCCGCCATGTTCTCCTGTATGTCATCCATCCACAATGTTCTCCTTTATGTTATCCATCCACCATATCCTCCTGTATGTCATCCGTCCACCATGTTCCCTTTATGTCATGTTTCCACATATCCTCCAGTATGTCATCCGTCCACCATGTTCTCCTGTACGTCATCCATCCACCATGTTCTCCTGTACGTCATCCATCCACCATGTTCTCCTGTACGTCATCCATCCACCATGTTCTCCTGTACATCATCCATCCACCAAGTTTTCCTGTACGTCATCCATCCACCATGTTCTCCTGTACATCATCCATCCACCATGTTTTCCTGTATGTCATCCATCCACCATGTTTTCCTGTATGTCATCCATCCACCATGTTCTTCTGTATGTCATCCATCCATCATGTTCTCATCATATCATTCATCCATGTTCTTATTCATTTCATCCATCCTCCATGTTCGCCATGTTCATCTTTTAGTTATGTCCATCCAGCTAATATTTAAGATCCTCCTTTAGCATCACAGTTTAAAACTTGCAATCTTCCTAATTAGTGACATTGTGAGTGAAAATGTTTCTGTGCCATACCTGGGAATAGTCCAGACTTGGCAATCTTTTCCTTGTTCTCAGAGGGCGATGGTGTATACTACACTGTCTGGCCAGAAGTATGGACACCCTTCCAAATGCTTGAGTCTAGATAGAAGTCTCCCATGAAGTGAGCTGTTAATACTAAAATATTCAGACATTTTAAACAACGGTGTGCTTCCAACCTTGAGGCAAATTCCCACAAATAAATTCTAAATAATTTTTTCCCCTCCACACGGACATTCCACAAGATTTTGGAGGGTGTTTGTGGGAATTTGTGCCTATTTTTGGGGTACTGATGTTGGATGAGAAGACCTGGCTTACAATTGGCATTCCAATTCATCAAAAAGGTGTTCAGTAGGGTTGAGGTCAGGGCTCTGTTAAGGACACATGATTTCCTCCAGACCAGACTGGTCAAACCAAGACCCGGCTCACAATGTGTTCCAATTCATCCCAAAGGTGTTCAGTAGGGTTGAGGTCAGGGCTCTGTGAAGGACACATGATTTCCTCCACACCAGACTGGTCAAACCAAGACCCGGCTCACAATCTGTGTTCCAATTCATCCCAAAGGTGTTCAGTAGGGTTGACGTCAGGGCTCTGTGAAGGACACATGATTTCCTCCACACTACACTGATCAAACCAAGACCTGGCTCAAAATCTGTGTTCCAATTCACCAAAAAGGTGTTCAGAAGAGTTGTGGTCAGGTACTGATGTGGAATGAGAAGACCTGATTCACAACCAGCTTTCTGATTCATCCCAAAGGTGTTCAGTAGGGTTGACGTCAGGGCTCTGTGAAGGACACATGATTTCCTCCACACCAGACTGGTCAAACCAAGACCCAGTTCAAAATCTGTTCCAATTCATCAAAAAGGTGTTCAGAAGAGTTGTGGTCAGGTACTGATGTGGAATGAGAAGACCTGATTCACAACCAGCTTTCTGATTCATCCCAAAGGTAGGGTTGAGGTCAGGGCTCTGTGAAGGACACATGATTTCCTCCAGACCAGACTGGTCAAACCAAGACCCGGCTCACAATGTGTTCCAATTCATCCCAAAGGTGTTCAGTAGGGTTGAGGTCAGGGCTCTGTGCAGAACACATGATTTCCTCCACACTAGACTGGTCAAACCAAGACCCGGCTCACAATCTGTGTTCCAATTCACCGAAAAGGTGTTCAGAAGAGTTGCGGTCAGGTACTGATGTGGAATGAGAAGACCTGATTCCCAACCAGCTTTCTGATTCATCCCAAAGGTGTTCAGTAGGGTTGAGGTCAGGGCTCTGTGAAGGACACTTGATTTCCTCCACACCAGACTGGTCAAACCAAGACCCCGGCTCACAATCTGTGTTCCAATTCACCAAAAAGGTGTTCAGAAGAGTTGCGGTCAGGTACTGATGTGGAATGAGAAGACCTGATTCCCAACCAGCTTTCTGATTCATCCCAAAGGTAGGGTTGAGGTCAGGGCTCTGTGAAGGACACTCGAGTTCCTCCACACCCATCTGGTCAAACCATGTCTTCTTGGAGCTGGCTTTGTACACAGGGCACAGTCATGGTGGAACAGAACCAGACTGTTACCACGGGTTAGGAAGAGCCCAATTGTCTACAATGTGTTTGTATGATGGAGTATTACCAGGACCTGGAGACACCTGAACTCCATCACTTGGAGGGATGTCCATATGTTTGCTTATACTGTATTATATGATGATATTTGGCCTTCTAGTGGATGAAGCCTCTGTAGATATGAAGATGGGGGGTCCAGGTGATGGCACTGCAATGGGTCGGAGGTCATACGTGTGCTCTGCGTTATTATTAGTTACATGGAGGGTGGTGCCCATAGACCGCTTGCGGTGGCAGTTCACCAAGTATTATTCATGCTGGACGTAGACAATGAACGCCGTGATCTCACCCTGCGCCTCTGATCTGCAGATGTGGAGAAACAATGGGAAGGACATCTGTATTTCTACAGGACAATAACAGAGTGGGGGGAGGGGGGATGGGGGGCACACACAGCATCTATAATTGGATCTGACATTTTATACACAATCATTGACGCCAGGACATCGCCCGGGACAGATACAATCTGTTGTCCTTCCCACAGCGGCACCTTCAAAGGGTTCTGTCCACCCAAGTCCTGTATATTTACATGTCAGGTTATAGGTGGAGTCTGGGTGGTGGAGACCCCCCTGGTTATGTCTCCAGCAGGCTGCAGGGGGGATATCTCCCGGCCATCCTTCCCGGACCTGTTCTTACCCATCAGGGGGTTTGACTTCCAGATCCTTCTCTTGTATTCTCCGTAATGTAAGATAGATTACCAATCCAACAGGGATGGTGGGAACCCCTCATAATGGGCACAGCAGGAGTACAAATCTAGGAGCTCAGCACAGGGATGGTGGGAACCCCTCATAATGGGCACAGCAGGAGTACAAATCTAGGAACTCAGCACAGGAATGGTGGGAACCCCGCATAATGGGCACAGCGGGTGTACAGAGCTGAGAACTCAGCACAGGGATGGTGGGAACCCCTCATAATGGGCACAGCAGGAGTACAAATCTAGGAGCTCAGCACAGGGATGGTGGGAACCCCTCATAATGGGCACAGCAGGAGTACAAATCTAGGAGCTCAGCACAGGGATGGTGGGAACCCCTCATAGTGGGCACAGCAGGAGTACAAACCTAGGAGCTCAGCACAGGGATGGTGGGAACCCCTCATAATGGGCACAGCAGAAGTACAAATCTAGGAGCTCAGCACAGGGATGGTGGGAACCCCTCATAATGGGCACAGCAGGAGTACAAACCTAGGAACTCAGCACAGGGATGGTGGGAACCCCACATAATGGGCACAGCAGGAGTACAAACCTAGGAACTCAGCACAGGGATGGTGGGAACCCCACATAATGGGCACAGCAGGAGTACAAACCTAGGAGCTCAGCACAGGGATGGTGGGAACCCCTCATAATGGGCACAGCAGGAGTACAAACCTAGGAGCTCAGCACAGGGATGGTGGGAACCCCTCATAAAGGGCACAGCGGGTGTACAGACCTGGGAACTCAGCACAGGGATGGAGGGAACCCCTCATAATGGGCACAGCAGGTGTACAGACCCAGGAACTCTGCACAGGGATGGTGGGAACCCCTCATAATGTGCACAGCAGGCGTACAGACCCAGGAACTCTGCACAGGGATGGTGGGAACCCCTCATAATGGGCACAGCAGGTGTACAGACCCAGGAACTCTGCACAGGGATGGTGGGAACCCCTCATAATATGCACAGCAGGCGTACAGACCCAGGAACTCAGCACAGGGATGGTGGGAACCCCTCATAATGGGCACAGCAGGCGTACAGACCCCGGGAACTCGGCACAGGGATGGTGGGAACCCCCTCATAATGTGCACAGCTGGGGTACAGACCCGGGAACCCAGCACAGGGATGGTGGGAACCCCTCATAATGTGCACAGCTGGGGTACAGACCCGGGAACTCAGCACAGGGATGGCGGGAACCCCTCATAATGGGCACAGTGGGTGTACAGACCTGGGAACTCAGCACAGGGATGGCGGGAACCCCTCATAATGGGCACAGCGGGTGTACAGACCTGGGAACTCAGCACAGGGATGGTGGGAACCCACTCATAATGGGCACAGCGGATGTACAGACCCGGGAACTCAGCACAGGGATGGTGGGAACCCCTCATAATGGGCACAGCGGATGTACAGACCCGGGAACTCAGCACAGGGATGATGGAAACCCTTACACCCCCTTTCAATTCCAATAACATGCTTGAGTTTACATGCAGTTACTATCTTTAATAGTTGTCTGTTGATGTTATGTTAGAAAGTGGCAGTTATTTAGAGCCAATTGGATTAGAATATTGCAGTCACATGACTGACAATAAAGATCTTTATCCTTCATGAACTGAGCCCCTTGTGTCTTATATTAGCTGTTTAGGGTGGAGCTTGAAGGGCCGGATGGTTTGGATCCATCTACATTGGGCCCCCAGCCTACATTGGCCCCCAGCCTACATTGGCCCCCAGCCTACATTGGGCCCCTGGAGGTCTGTAGCTGGTGGAAATCTCTTGCATGCAGATCCGTTGTTATTCCTTCTCTGCATGGAGCCAATTGTTTTCTGTTTATTATTATTCCTGTGGGAGGCGCCGCGGCTTCTTGTTATTACACCGAGAGGGTTTTTCTTGGATTAAAAACATCGGAGATTGTATAATGAGACTTCTAACGATATTTCTGATCTGCAGGCGTGTGGACGGCTGACTCCGGAGCACCATGACCCCCCAGAGAGCCCTGTCACCCCTCACCCTCCTGTTCGCTTCCCTCCTGTGTTACGGTGAGTTCATTCTACTGATCAATGCTAATAATATGAGAAAAAATTATATTATACAGAGTGACATCACCGCCCTCCAGATATAAGATATATTATACAGAGTGACATCACCGCCCTCCAGATATAAGATATATTATACAGAGAGTGACATCACCGCCCTCCAGATATAAGATATATATATACAGAGTGACATCACCGCCCTCCAGATATAAGATATATTATACAGAGTGACATCACCGCCCTCCAGATATAAGATATATTATACAGAGTGACATCACCGCCCTCCAGATATAAGATATTATTATACAGAGTGACATCACCGCCCTCCAGATATAAGATATATTATACAGAGTGACATCACCGCCCTCCAGATATAAGATATATTATACAGAGTGACATCACCGCCCTCCAGATATAAGATATATTATACAGAGTGACATCACCGCCCTCCAGATATAAGATATATTATACAGAGTGACATCACCGCCCTCCAGATATAGAATATATTATACAGGAGTGACATCACCGCCCTCCGGATATAAGATATATTATACAGAGTGACATCACCGCCCTCCGGATATAAGATATATTATACAGAGTGACATCACCGCCCTCCGGATATAAGATATATTATACAGAGTGACATCACCGCCCTCCGGATATAAGATATATTATACAGAGTGACATCACCGCCCTCCTCCAGATATAAGATATATTATACAGAGTGACATCACCGCCCTCCAGATATAAGATATATTATACAGAGTGACATCACCGCCCTCCGGATATAAGATATATTATACAGAGTGACATCACCGCTCTCCAGATATAAGATATATTATACAGAGTGACATCACCGCCCTCCAGATATAAGATATATTATACAGAGTGACATCACCGCCCTCCAGATATAAGATATATATTATACAGAGTGACATCACCGCCCTCCAGATATAAGATATATTATACAGAGTGACATCACCGCCCTCCAGATATAAGATATATTATACAGAGTGACATCACCGCCCTCCAGATATAAGATATATTATACAGAGTGACATCACCGCCCTCCGGATATAAGATATATTATACAGAGTGACATCACCGCCCTCCAGATATAAGATATATTATACAGAGTGACATCACCGCCCTCCAGATATAAGATATATTTATACAGAGTGACATCACCGCCCTCCAGGATATAAGATATATTATACAGAGTGACATCACCGCCCTCCAGATATAAGATATATTATACAGAGTGACATCACCGCCCTCCGGATATAAGATATATTATACAGAGTGACATCACCGCCCTCCGGATATAAGATATATTATACAGAGTGACATCACCGCCCCCTCCGGATATAAGATATATTATACAGAGTGACATCACCGCCCTCCAGATATAAGATATATTATACAGAGTGACATCACCGCCCTCCGGATATAAGATATATTATACAGGAGTGACATCACCGCCCTCCGGATATAAGATATATTATACAGAGTGACATCACCGCTCTCCAGATATAAGATATGTTATACGGAGTGACATCACCGCTCTCCAGATATAAGATATATTATACGGAGTGACATCACCGCCCTCCAGATATAAGATATATTATACAGAGTGACATCACCGCCCTCCAGATATAAGATATATTATACAGAGAGTGACATCACCGCTCTCCAGATATAAGATATATTATACAGAGTGACATCACCGCCCTCCAGATATAAGATATATTATACAGAGTGACATCACCGCCCTCCAGATATAAGATATATTATACAGAGTGACATCACCGCTCTCCAGATATAAGATATATTATACAGAGTGACATCACCGCTCTCCAGATATAAGATATGTTATACGGAGTGACATCACCGCCCTCCAGATATAAGATATATTATACAGAGTGACATCACCGCTCTCCAGATATAAGATATATTATACAGAGTGACATCACCGCCCTCCAGATATAAGATATATTATACAGAGTGACATCACCGCCCTCCAGATATAAGATATATTATACAGAGTGACATCACCGCCCTCCAGATATAAGATATATTATACAGAGTGACATCACCGCCCTCCAAATTTGGGGGACCCTGTTAGGTTGACTGTAAGGGACCTCGTTGTTTCTAACAGCAGTCCTGCTCCAGTCATACAGTACACAGTACAGGAAATGCGGTATTTGCTCCCGGCGGCCCCTGATGTTGAATGTTCGCCCCTCACACAGAAATGATCGGTCTAACAATGGAATGTTCGCCCCTCACACAGAAATGATCGGTCTAACAATGGAATGTTCGCCCCTCACACAGAAATGATCGGTCTAACAATGGAATGTTCGCCCCTCACACAGAAATGATCGGTCTAACAATGGAGTGTTCGCCCCTCACACAGAAATGATCGGTCTAACAATGGAATGTTCGGTGTAACACTGAGAGACAGAATACAACAACAAATTCAGCAGAAATGCGTCTAACAAATGATGACTGATCTGCATGTTCATGAGGGAAAGAAGGATTTGATCCCCTATCATTCAGCAGGATTTCTGGCTCCCAGGTGTCTCTCATACAGGTAACAAGCTGAGATTAGAAGCAGTCTCTTAAAGGGAGTGCTGCTAATCTCATTGTGTTACCTGTATAACAGACACCTGTCCACAGGAGCCATCAAACCATCAGATTCCAAACTCTCCACCATGGCAAAGACCAAAGAGCTGTCCAAGGATGTCAGAGACAAGATGGTAGACCTACACAAGGCTGGACTGGGCTACCAAACTATGGCCAAGCAGCTTGGTGAGAAGGTGACAACAGTTGGTGCAATCATTCACAAATGGAAGAAACACAAAACAAGTGTCAGTCTCCCTAGGTCTGGTGCACCATGCAAGATCTCACCTCGTGGTGTGTCAATGATCATGAGAACAGTGAGGAATCATCCCAGAACTACACGTGAGGATCTTGTCAATGATCTCCAGGCAGCTGGGACCGCAGTCACCAAGAAAACAATTGGTAACACACTACGCCGACAAGGACTGAAATCCTGCAGTGCCGCAAGGTCCCTCTGCTCAAGAAAGCCCATGTCCAGGCCCGTCTGAAGTCTGCCACTGAACATCTGAATGATGCAGAGGAGGACGGGTGGAAGTGTTGTGGTCAGATGAGATCAAAATCCAGCTCTTTGGCATCAACTCAACTCACCGTGTTTGGAGGAGGAGGAATGCTGCCTATGACCCCAAGAACACCATCCCAACTGTGAAACGTGGTGGAAACATTCTGCTTGGGGGGGGGGGTTTCTGCTAAGGGGACAGGACAACTGCACCGCATCAAAGGGATGATGGGCGGGGCAATGTACCCTCAAATCTTGGGTGAGAACCTTCTTCCCTCAGCCAGGGCATTGAAAATGGGTGGTGGATGGGTGTTCCAGCATGACAATGACCCAAAACATACGGCCAAGGCAACAAAGGAGCGGCTCAAGAAGAAGCACATTAAGGTGCTGGAGTGGCCTAGCCAGTCTCCAGACCATTATCCGATTGAAAATCTGTGGAGGGAGCTGAAAGTTCGAGTTGCCAAACGTCAGCCACCAAACCTTAATGACTTGGAGAGGATCTGCCAAGAGGAGTGGGCCAAAATCCCTCCTGAGATGTGTGCGAACCTGGGGGCCAACTCCAGGAATCGTCTGACCTCTGTGATTGCCAACAAGGGATTGCCACCAAGTACTAAGTCATGTTTTGTGAAGGGGATCAAATCCTTCTTTCCCTCATGAACATGCAGATCAGTCATCATTTGTTAGATGCATTTCTGCTGAATTTGTTGTTGTATTCTGTCTCTCAGTGTTACACCGAACATTCCATTGTTAGACCGATCATTTCTGTGTGAGGGGCGAACATTCCATTGTTAGACCGATCATTTCTGTGTGAGGGGCGAACATTCCATTGTTAGACCGATCATTTCTGTGTGAGGGGCGAACATTCCATTGTTAGACCGATCATTTCTGTGTGAGGGGCGAACATTCCATTGTTAGACCGATCATTTCTGTGTGAGGGGCGAACATTCAGCATCAGCCGGGGACCAAATACGCATTTCCTTCACTGTATTCAGCATAATAAATGGTTACAATGTATCCTCTGTGCTGGGAGTACATTGTCTCAGCTCGGCCATTGATTGTGATCTCCTCGTAGTCTGGAAGGATTCCGTTCAGAAGATGGGACGGGTTGTGTGGTGTCAACGGGATCGGTATGGACTCCTCCGGTAGGCAGCACGTTGTCAGGAAATCCTCACTTCATTCCGTCTTTGCTGCATCCTCCTCTGGCAGATTCTTGTTTCCTCCTCCTGTAATAAGCAGAGGAATCGGAGTAATAAAGTCAATCGGAGATCATATCATCGTGTTCTGTGGGAGGAGCTATGGAGAGCGTCCAATACTAAGGATCTCCATAGGGGGTCATTCTGTGTTATTTCCCATTCTATGACATTATTTTTAATATTAGAAATAACATTTTTACATCTTATAACCTGTCTCTGTATAGAAGTAAAAAAAAAGCAAAAATACTTTCTAGTCCACGAAAGTCCCGTGTTGTCTTTCTTGTAGGGAGCGTTCTCCTAACACTGCTCCTCTCCGGTGCCGCCACGCTCAATTCCTTTCCACCACAAGGATGTTTGCCGGGTCTCTACAGGACCCAGCAGATCCCTACGGCATGCATGAGACCCCCCTGGTGCACGCACAGACACCCCTGCCAGTAACATGGAAGCCACCCATGCCATTTCTGTGCTTGCTTCAAGATTCCACAATCTGCCTCCTGGGAGAAATGACATCGAACTTCCAGGAGGCAAGTCACAGGGCCACACGTATGTGCAGAAATGCCAGGGTGCATGTAAAGGGAGTCACAATGGGCGGGGGGCCCATGGAACCCAGCTCACTTTAGAGAGGTGAGGAGATCCCTGTCTCAGCTCCCCATATCCCTCTTATGTGTACATCCCCCTGTGCCTGTTATACAGGGGGTGCAGAAATGCCAGGGGGCATGTGAATGTCCTAGGGAATACTTTGGGGGGGGGGGGGCCCATGGAATCCCAGCTCACTTTAGAGAGGTGAGGAGATCCCTGTCTGAGCTCCCCATATCCCTCTTATGTGTACATCCCCCTGTCTGTTAGGGGTACAGGGGGATCTGTCCTAATATTGGGGAGGGGGGGGGCTTTGTCTCAGACTGTGTAGACATGTCTAGGAGATAGGTTGGGTGGGGGTTGTTGATTGTTTAATGCCATGTGGTTGCATCCCATTGTTCTATTGTTTGTCTGGCTTGGGACCAGATTATTATGGGATGCATGTGTTTGTGTATTAGCTTAGCGGAGGAGTATCTCCAGCAGCCCTCCCTCCTGATGGGACTGCTTAGTGGAGGCGTATCTCCAGCAACCCTCCCTCCTGATGCGACTGCTTAGTGGAGGGGTATCTCCAGCAGCCCACCCTCCTGATGCGACTGCTTAGTGGAGGGGTATCTCCAGCAGCCCTCCCTCCTGATGCGACTGCTTAGTGGAGGGGGTATCTCCAGCAGCCCCACCCTCCTGATGGGACTGCTTAGTGGAGGGGTATCTCCAGCAGCCCTCCCTCCTGATGGGACTGCTTAGTGGAGGGGTATCTCCAGCAGCCCTCCCTCCTGATGGGACTGCTTAGTGGAGGGGTATCTCCAACAGCCCTCCGTCCTGATGGGACTGCTTAGTGGAGAGGTATCTCCAGCAGCCCTCCATCCTGATGGGACTGCTTAGTGGAGAGGTATCTCCAGCAGCCCTCCGTCCTGATGGGACTGCTTAGTGGAGAGGTATCTCCAGCAGCCCTCCTCCTGATGGGACTGCTTAGTGGAAAGGTATCTCCAGCAGCCCTCCCTCCTGATGGGACTGCTTAGTGGAAAGGTATCTCCAGCAGCCCTCCCTCCTGATGGGACTGCTTAGTGGGGGTATCTCCAGCAGCCCTCCCTCCTGATGAGACTGATTAGTGGGGGGGGGGGGGGGTATCTCCAGCAGCCCTCCCTCCTGATGGGACTGTCTGCTGGTGTGAAGTTTGAATACCTGTGTGTCTCTTGTTACTATATGTAGATTGCCCCGCCCTGTGTCATTATGCAGGGAGGGGGGATTGCCCCCTGGTGTCTGTTGTCAGTGTTCGGATGGGGAAGCGGTATTCTAACGGAAGTTCTCAAGCGCAGTCTGGGTCGGTTCCGTTACAGGGCGTCATTCTCATCCAGACGAAAAAAACAAAACTTCATGTTGGCAATTCTGTTCTACGGAGGGAGGCGGAAGGATGGGAGAGCAAGGGAGAGGAGCCGCTTACATTCATGTGAACCGCTGCGGGTGTGTATGATAAGTTAACAACACCCCGAAATCGGGTGCGATGTGCAGAATCGGATCTCATAGGTGTGAATACCCGTGCAATCCGATTCTAGTACAAACCAAAAAAAGGGTCCTGCATGTTTTTGGTGCGGGTGCGGTGCTAACTGAGCCATACAAAATGTACAACTCCAATCGCACCGCACACAAATCGCATGTGATCTGCAGAGTAATGCGGTGCGGTCCCTGTGTGAATGTGATGCTCATGTTTTTCAATATAGAAAACTGCCGCAGATCCCTCCCAGATCGGAGCTGGCAGAGACAGACTCTGCCTGAGCAGAGAACACACTTCATGGGCAGAGCCTGCAAGGAGCAAGCAAAGCTCCCTTCCCTTCCTATATGCCCGATATTTAACCCCGGCAAATGCAGGGTTAACAGCTTTCCTCCTCCCTCTCAGCTAAGCGGGGGCGGGCACAGGGAGGTGGGGCAAGCACTCCAGTTCCCTTACTCCCTATGTTGTATCTGGCATTGAAAAAGGAGCAGATTGCTTGTAAATCTGAGGGCTGTACATCAGGGAGAGAGCGGGAATTGTACTGGGGTCACAATGGGGGGGGGGGGGGTAGTAACGTGTGCTGGAGATGAGAGGGTTTGTGCTAGGAGGGGTTAATCAGAAAGGGGAGGGGGAGCAGGATGTGTGCTAGGGTTTAGGATGGGGGGATTTGTGCTAGGAAATTCAGGGGAGATATGTGCTATGGGGCGGGGGGGGGGGGGGGGGGGGGGGAGTTGTTCTAGGGAGGGTCATTTGCAAGGGGAGGTTTGTGTTAGAAGGGTGAGATTTGTACTGGGGGGGGGGAGAATTTTGTGCCAGGAAGGGAGATTGGGAGGGGATTTGTGCTAGGTGGGGGATTTGTGCTAGGAGGGGGAGTGGGGGGCTGTGTTCTAAGAGGACGGATTGGGGGGATTTATGCTAGGAAGTGGATTGGGAGAGGATTTGTACTAGAAGGGGGATTGGGGGATTTGTACTAGAAAAAGGATTGGGGGGGATTTGTACTAGGAGGGGGATTGGGGGGGGGGTTGTGTGCTAAGAGAAGGGATTAAGGGGGGATTTGTACTAGGAGGCGGATTTGTAATAGGAGGGGAAGTGGGGGAATTTGTACTAGGAGGGGGATAGGGGGGTTGTGTGCTAAGAGAAGAGAGATTTGGGGGGATTTGTACTAGGAGGGGGATTGGGGGATTTGTGCTAGGAGGGGGATTGGGGGGATTTGTGCAAGGAAGGATCATTTGTAGGGGGTGGTTTGTGGTAGGAGGGGAGATGATTTGTATTAGGAGTGGGATTGGGGGGCTGTGTACTAAGAGGAGGGATTGGGGGGGGGGATTTGGGATTTGTACTAGAAGGGGGATTTGTACTAGGAGGAGGATTGGGGGATTTGTACATGGAAGGATCATTTTGTGTGTGTGTGTGTGTGGGGGGGGGGGGGGTGGTGGTGGTAAGAGAAGGAGAGTATTTGTGCTGGGAGGGGGGATTGGGGGAATTTTGTGCTAGGAGGGGGGAGTGGGTGGTGGGGATTTGTTCTGGGAGGGGGGATTTGGGGCAAGAGGATTTTATTGGGGGTTGTGCTAGGAGAGGTGATTTATGGGGGGAGGGAGGATTTGTGCTAGGATGGGGGGAGGGGATTTGAGCTGGAAGGGGAGTTTGTTGGGCAAAGATTAGTGCCTGGAGGGAGAATTTTTGCTTGGGGCGAATTTATGAGGGGATTTATGCTCCGTAGGGCATAAGCATGCAGATTAGTGCTGGATTTTTTTTTTTTTGGGGGTGGGGGTGGAGATTTTCACTCAAACATGATGCTCACACATTACTGGGGGGGGGGGGGTGGATGAGGGGGGTGGGGGGCGGTGGGGGGGGGGAGGGGGATGGGGGGGGGGGGTGGGGGGGGGGGGGGGGTGGGGTTGGGGTGGGGGGGGGGTGGGGGGGGGGGGGGGGGGGGGGGTTTGTGGGGGTGGGGGTGGGGGGGGTGGAGGGGCGGGGGGGGGGGGCACAATTTGTCATCTTTGCCCTGAACAATAAGATGTCCTAGACCCGGCATTGAGCACCATATGTTAGATCATGCAGACACAGATGGGGGGCAACTTTGATCCGCTGGTTTTTGGGGTTTTTTTTGCATTTTCCAAGTTTCCAAGTTATTGTTTTGTATCATTTTTATTACTTTTATAAAACATTCATCACAAGGCACTTCCATGACACCAACTTTGCAAGGCAAACCCGAATCAGAAAACCCAACACTGCCTGCTTTTTGGCTTCCTGTGTATAACTGTCAGATATTAGATATCTTTTAAAAAACAAAAAATGAGATAAAAATTGACCCAAAACCATTTTATTTTCCCTGAACAAAACATATATTTGGACAATATTTGGTGTATAGATTGTACATGTAAACGGGTCTTTCCTGTTTGTCCTTTCAGGATTCGTGTTGGTGTGGACACAGAATGTGGCCCTTGACACTACGACAACCTTCGAGGATCTTAGCACACCGTTTTCACCCGTCGGGGTCAAGATACTGACTGGAGGGAACTTTTCAGTGTCTGTGGCCCCGTGGGAGAGTACCACGGAGCCGCCTGTTGTCAGTACTCAGAGCAGCCTTGCTATACACAACACTACTACATTAATATCGAAGGACAGCGTCACCGTCCCGACGCCAATGACGATGGAGAGTCTTTCCACTGAGGTGACCACGCGTGGCACAGAGACCACCACAGAAGATGGGCTTCTCAGCCCCCCTATAGGCAGCACTAGGGCTCCAATGGGCGCAACTGCCACTGAGTTAGAAATGTCATCTTCTTCAAGTGAAAACGGCAGCAAAGTATCAACTGGGACCACCACGACCGGCGGCACCACAGACACCGCTGCAGCCAGTACTGCTGTCCGTGTAACCAGAAATGTATCTGCCCCACTGGGGGCCATGGAGACGACCTCCACCGGCGGTGAGCGGTTACATCTGTGTATTATTTATGGTGCATCATGTAGGGCAGGATAGGGGTCAGCAGGGCAGAGGATGAGATGTAGGGCAGGATAGGGGTCAGCAGGGCAGAGAATGAGATGCAGGGCAGGATAGGGGTCAGCAGGGCAGAGATGAGATGCAGGGCAGGATAGGGGTCAGCAGGGCAGAGAATGAGATGTAGGGCAGGATAGGGGTCAGCAGGGCAGAGAATGAGATGTAGGGCAGGATAGGGGTCAGCAGGGCAGAGGATGAGATGTAGGGCAGGGTAGGGGTGAGCAGGGCAGAGGATGAGATGCAGGGCAGGATAGGGGTCAGCAGGGCAGAGGATGAGATGCAGGACAGGATAGGGGTCAGCAGGGCAGAGGATGAGATGCAGGGCAGGATAGGGGTCAGCAGGGCAGAGGATGAGATGCAGGGCAGGATAGGGGTCAGCAGGGCAGAGGATGAGATGTAGGGCAGGATTGGAGTCAGCAGGGCAGAGGATGAGATGTAGGGCAGGATAGGGGTCAGCAGGGCAGAGGATGAGACGTAGGGCAGGATTGGGGTCAGCAGGGCAGAGGATGAAATGTAGGGCAGGATAGGGGTCAGCAGAGCAGAGGATTAGATGTAGGGCAGGATAGGGGTCAGCAGGGCAGAGGATGAGATGTAGGGCAGGATAGGGGTCAGCAGGGCAGGGTACAGGGGGTTAGCAGGGAAGAGAACAGGGAAAGGCAGAAAGGAAGGACAGGGTCACGTCTGGCTTGCTATTACAGCTACACTGCCATTCTAATCAGGGAATATCACAGGTTAGATCTGTAATCCAGCAGCCGGCTATGCTCTGTGTAGATGGAGGATGTGTCTGTAAAGGTTATCCAGCTCTTACGGTGAAGACTACAAACTGCGCCCCCCCCACCCCCCCCCCCCCCCCCCCCCCCCCCCCCCATGTGTGAGCATCATGTCTCAGCACTTATCAGCAGGCTCACCGCCTAAGCATTCCCTCTGCAAGCTATAATTCTCCCCAAACAAAAATGCAGAAATTCCTCCTCCCTCTCTACATCCCTCTTTCTCCTCATATTTCCCATGCTGGCACAAATCCTCCCCCCAAATTCCCCCTCTTCCCCCTCCTAGCTCAAATCCCACACCCCTTGCTAGCTCAACTCCCCCATTACCCCTCTTAGACCAATTCCCCCTCATACCTCCTCCCAGCAAAAAAATCCTCACCCCCAAATCAATCACCCTCACAACACAAGTTCTCTCTCAAAATCCCCCCCCCCGAACAAATCCTCTCCCACAAATCCCCCCTCCTAGCATAAATCCACCCCCCCAGAAACCAGCACCCCCCATACCAACTTCTAGCACAAATTCCCCCTCCAAGCTCAAATAACCCCTCTTAGCCCAAATCCCCCAATCTCCCCTTCTAGCATAAACCCCCCCCCCCCCCCCCCCCCCCCCCCATTGTATACAATTCACCTGCCATGAGGTCCACTTTCCAACCCTCCAGGAGCTGTGAGGAGGTGCGAGCCGTGTTGTGCTCTCCCACCCTGTCATTAGAGCGCTCCTCTATACAGTAGATGAGAAGGGATCGCTCTTGCATTGGATCGTTCATACACTTTCCTTACCTGCAAATTATCTCCCAGGGGGGTAGGGGGCAGGTACAGTCAGTGTACAGCCCGGTGTATGATAGGAAGGGAGAGCAGAGCACGGCCCGCACCTCCTCCCTGCCGCTTTCATTTGTCCTGTCACCTTCACTACACTGTACCACATTCCCCTTCGCTTTTCCTATCCCTGAGTGCGGGCATGGAGAGAGGGGCTCATCAGCCGGGCACAACTTCTGTCAGAAAGCCAACCTGAGGGGGAGCAACTGAATTCTGGGGGGGCGCAGTCCACCCCAGCACGCAGACCACCCCAGCAACCCCTAGATCCGGCCATGCTCCCGACAGGGGCAAGACACTCTGGTCCACACATTGAGAAGGCCTGTTTGACCCTTCTCCTCATGGACAACTGAAGTGGCAATGGACTACTAGGTTATGAGCTTTCCTGAAGAAGACCCCCAAGGTAGGGGAGGAAAGAACCCAAGGGCCGCCCATTCTCCTCCTCGACTTTAAGTTAGGCCCATAGACCCCAACCCTACCATCCAATACGATCACTACAATCTAATATGTAACACAGTGTCTAGGTCTTGAAGCCCAGTAACAAGAATTGCCCTGGTCTTGGGCCCAAGGCCTAGCTCATGAGACGTAGTGCAAGTGGTGTCATGGCCTAGTGGAGTTTCACACAGGGGTGTCCCAGATCCATAGTGTTGCTCCGGAACTCTTGGTTGCCATTCCCAATGGATGCTTGATATGGTGGGCTCTCTGCACATAATTTGGATTCCTTCCCATGGGGAAGGTCCCTCAGGACCCCCATACCAACAGGCATACAATACAGCCATTCATCCCTCCCAAAAGGCCAGAATGATGGTGGAGCGCCCCCTGATGAACACTGATAAATCCTACACGTGATCTTAGCCAAAAGTCCAAGAAGTGGTGTAGGGTAACGATGTGCAGGGTCTAAACCCGGACATACAGCTCACGCGTGGAGAAGGGCTTCCTAGGCCACTTCATGGTAGAATCGGGGAGAGAATGAAGAATAGACGCCCCACACCATGTGACTGGAGTCCGAAATGATTTATTCCAATAGAATCATTTAAACAAGGTCTGTGGGTGTGGCCAACGCGTTTCGGGACTTGTAAACAGCTACTGATGAGCATCGATTCCCGCATCACAATCTATGAATCCTTTAGATCAGCAAACGCACAGATCCATGGATCTCGTCTGAATGATTATAACGGAATAAACACTTTTGGACTCTAATCACTCGGAGGTGTATTAATAAAATATTTAAAAAGCAAAAAAAATGACAATGTGCACAAATGTTGTCTTATATATTAAGGCCTCACGCTGACTGCACTGCTTCTAGAGGAGTCTTGTGGGGGGGGGGTTCTGGCTCTAAAAGCCCCACCATGTTAGCCTATGTGTCCTTTCATACAAAGGTGTTCACAGACGTTTAGAGGCAGGAAAATAAAAATCCTGCCAGAGCGTTCAGGAGCAGCATTTTGGCAAAAAAATAAAAATAAATGTGCGCAAACCTATACAGAAGCATCAAGCGCTTGGATGCACCCTCCCGCCAGTCTATCTCTTCTTAGGAAGTCTAATAGCCTCCTCTACTGGTGATTAGAGAGAAGTGCAGTGGTTTTTTTTTTTTTTGCAAAAATGATTCTGCACCAAAAACACCTTTTCACTCATCCCTAGAGGTGACTACCGGCCCAAATCTGACAATTTCACTCAACATTTTCGGTGATGAACGCCCAGTGATGGCTTGACTCACTTCAGAGACTTCAGTGATGAGATTTCCCCGGTGTGGTGTTCATTTTTTCCCCTCTAACAAGACCATAAAGTCAATTTTCTGGTCTTGTCAGGGAATGTTTTTAGTACATATAGTTATATACTTACATACACCGTGTTCCAAATTATTCTGCAGATGATATTTTTCTCATTTCCCTCAATAATTGATGTCAATATCAGTCGGCAGAATTCTCAGGTGACAACTATAAGAGGACAATTCACATTTTATTGAACAAACCTCCTAATGATAACAGGATTTTTGTTCCGGATTATTCCGCACAGGAAGTTTCAAAACACTTTCTAGGTTGTAAAGACCTGAAAATTGTCATTTTTTGTGTTTGCAGCAAATTTACTGAAATCAAAAGCTATTTCAATCCAACTTTTCCCAACATTGTAACTTTGTAAACATTTGAAGCGGTCACGTTACATTGTAACATAGGAGCCCTTATCTGATAGCAGATCACAAGTCTGGCATCCATTGAACTTGGCAGTTTTTGGACAGTTTCTGCTTGAATTTGTTTGCAAGATGTCAGAATAGCCTCCCAGAGCTGCTGTTTGGATGTAAACTGCCTCCCACCCTCATAGATCTTTTGCTTGAGGATGCTCCAAAGGTTCTCCATAGGATTGAGGTCAGGGGAGGATGGAGGCCACACCATGACTTTCTCTCTTTTTTTATCCCCATAGCAGCCATTGATGCAGAGGTATTCTTTGCAGCATGAGATGGTGCATTGTCATGCATGAAGATGGTTTTATTACGGAAAGCATAGTTCTTCCTTCTGGATCAGGGAAGAAAGTGGTCAGTCATAAACTCCACATACTTTGCAGAGGTCATCTTTACACCTTCGGGGACCCTAAAGGGGCTGACCCGCTCTGTTCCCATGATTCCGGCCCAAAACATGACTCCACCACCGCCTTGCTGACGTCACAGCCTTGTTGGAACAGGGTGGCCGTCCACCAACCATCCACTACTCCATCCATCTGGACCCTCCAGGGTTGCACGGCACTCATCAGTGAACAGGACTGTTTGAAAATGAGTCTTCATGTATTTTTCTGCCCAATGCAGCCGTTTCTGCTTGTGAGCATTGGTTAGTGGTGGCCGAATAGAAGGTTTATGCACAGTTGCAGGACTCTGGAGGACTCTACACCTTGATGTCCGTGGGACTCCAGAGGCACCAGCAGCTTCAAATATCTGTTTGCTGCTATGTAATGGGATTTTAGCAGCTGCTCTCTTGATCCGATGCATGGATCTGGCAGAAATCTTCCTCAATGTGCCTTTATCTGCACCAACCCGTCTGTGCTCTGAATCAGCCACAAATCTCTTCATAGTGCGATGATCACGCTTACGTTTTTGTGAAATATCGAATGTTTTCATCCCTCGTCCAAGGCATCGAACTATTTCACTCTTTTCGACAGCAGAGAGATCCTTTTTCTTCCCCATATTGCTTGAAAATGGCGCTCTGCTTAATAATGTGGAACGCCGTCCTTTAGGAGTTTTTCCTGAAATTGGGCTCACCGGCCAATCTAATTATCACAGGTGCCCCAGATTGTTTTCAGTGATCAAAAGAGCCCTGACACACAATGCCATCCATGAGTTACACTGAGAAACAAAATATTTAATCGT